TTGGTGGTGAGGTCCATTGCAGGTAATTTAGCCACATTTGCCTGCTTTGCTCTACTGAATCCTGATGATGTATGGCCCAGTCCTTATTTTAAAGAAGAAGGGGGGCTGTGTCATCAGCATGGTCATAAAGGATAGAGAACTGGGCTCTAAATAGTTTCAGCATTAATACAGGAATGGCACACTGTGCTTTCTGAGCCCAGTGTGCCCCCTCCCCAGATCTTATTAGCGCAGACGATTCTGCTTCAGCACTATATATATGAAGCAGTGTGCCATTCATGACACTTCATGTTCTGACCATCAAACATCAAGGTCCTCAAACTATATACCTTATTTGTTGTGTTAGTACACCAACAGATCAGACAATGGGACTACAGCCTTTAGTGTAATGGCAGATATTACAAATGAGCAACAGGGGGTCCACTCTATAATATTCTGCATGTGACAGCAGAGATCAATGATGTACCATTGCTGCAGATGCAATATTTCGTGTGTGTGTGTGTGTGTGTGTGTGTGTGTGAGAGAGAGAGAGAGAGAGAGAGAGAGAGAGAAAGAATCTGTCTGTCTGTCTAGGGGAGTCATGTCTTGCAAACATCTCTGCCAGATGAGTGAGATATGAGCTGAGTTTCTGTACCCTCCTTGGTTACAGTATGTAAGTCCGTGTCCAGAGATGCAAGCCTTTTGGCAAGAGTCCCTCACTCCCACCTTGAATGAGCCGTGTTAAGGTTGAATAATACTGTTCGTTGGCATTCCTCAAATATCAAAGTAACAGTAGGAAGTCTGTTATATAACGTCATCCTTCAAAAGATGTATTCATATAGTCATGCTGCATACAACTTCACACCTGTAAAGTGTACCAGCCATAAAGTTTGTACATTCCAGCCACAAATGGACCACAGTGACTCAACCAAGGTTGCACCCCACCAATGTTCACTGTGAAAAAATTGATTCAAGTCCAATTACAGTCCACAAATTTGCTTCTTCTTTTTGTTTCTTTATTTTACGTCATGCAGTACTGCTGCTGCTTCCAACAATTGTCATGCAACTACAGATTTCCCTGGTAAACAATTTGTTTCCCTCAATGCTTCGTCAGGTCACTTTATACTTGGAGCCCATGCTCTATGTCTCCTACTCAGAATTAATCTTGTGTTCTCTCGGCATCTGCTAACCCTAACCTAAATAAAGTTTGTACACGGCAATGAGATTTGCACTACATGGTAATTACTCCCATGCCAAGAAGCTGCCACCTCCAGGTTGCAGCAATATTTCCTCCTGCCCAACACAGGAAGGAGATCATGTCTGAACACTGTTCCATGGGAGGAAAAATCCTACACACAGAAAATGAGCATGTCAGGGCCAAAACTCCTCCCAAGCTCACAGCTTCCTAAGAGCAAGGAGCTGGCTTTTTTTTATATATATATATA